TAATATTCTTTTTCAGGCTCAAAAAAGTGACATATTTCTTAAAAGTATTTCACACGCACAAAATATTTCGACCCTGTTGACCTACGGCAGCTTCATCTTGTCAAGATACACAGAAATACAAACGACCCCTCCCTTGTGGGTAAATAGGCAGTGGCTGATGTCATGTATAAGTGAGGCAGTGAGAATGGCACCATAAATAAAGATGTGGGATTAATTGAGAATAACCCTGCAGGGTGCATCGAGTATGAGCGGCGCTGCGGAGGCATCTGATACCGGCAACAGCGAGGGTCTCAACACTTAAGTCACCTGCTTTTATTTTTTGCATTTCTAACTCTGAATGCTCTCTCTTGTTGTTTGCAGATTGTAAAAGCTACGGCTCTGATAGAAGTGGAGCGAGAGGAGTTGTTGTTGTTGCATCAACAGTTGCGACAGTTGTGTTTCCAGTTTGGGCTTTGACAGAGTTTGATAGTAGAGAATTAAAAGACAGAATGGGGGGTGGGGATGTGGGCTGACGAATGCCGGATGTGTGATGAGGAAATCAGCAGCGAGGGTGACAAAAATAGGTTCTGTTCAGGAACTGAACACTGCCTTGTGTGATTATTTACATTAATTTGTGTGAGTGTGGACGTCTAAATGCACATTATTGTGCGTATGCTTGCTCATCTATGTGTGTATATATTTTACGGCTCAAGTGTTGTCACAAAGCACCCTGCTCTTTGTTACATTGCCGAAGGCGGGCTGCCACTGCAGTCCTGTCCATCAGGTTCTCCCGACTGGATCAGTAAACATTAATAACCCCCACCCCCACCACACCCCCTCGGTGCCAGCTCCTCGGCTGGCAGCCATGCAAATGCAGGCCCTGCACATACGGCCTGTAAAGCCCCCGTGCAGGCCTGGGCCCCGCAGCCTTGCCAGCCTGTGGACAGGTGAACAAAGCTGGCTTCAGGCTGTCCGCACCCTATAAGAATGCTAACGCTTCAGCGTGCGGGCAACATCGTGGTGGCATTGTCAGTGAAAAATGGAACGGGATCAAAGCAGGGTCGGAATAAATGTGTCTCTGAGAATGAGGTTCCTAATGAAAAAATGCTGTTAGTTTTATGCGTTGGCAACGGTGCCTCTCTGCTCCCACTGTAAACGTCGTACAGACGATATAATGTGGTGCCTTGTGGTTAGAGAAGAATCTGAATATTTTTATGGTCCTAATAATGTCTGAATGGTAGTGTGTGTTCCTATGCTTTGACTGTGCCGAGACACGACTGATATTATTCTCTTCAGAATGTGCCTCTTGTTAAAATGTGAGAGGTCCTTTATCTCGTCTCACAAGTGATTTCTATTTTGAGGCTACGAGTCCTTCGATACACTAAATTGGACTGAAAACTCATCTCGGCCTCAGATCTGACAGCTCCTTCACCCCAACAAAATAAATTATAAAAACACCGTATTTCAAAACGCTTATTCAATTCACTGTGATCAGCTGGATCTGTTTTCACTGCAGACTAACAGGATTTATTATTCATATTTCAGATAAGCTTTGACTGTTATAGCCATTTTAACATTTTCTCATATCAAACCATCTTTGTTTCCTGGAGGTTCTAGTTACTGCATATCGAACACTAAATCATGGTCAGACTTATTCTTTCAAATCTGCCTTTGCAGAAGTGTATTCTCTGTCATTCTATGAATTCCCTCTCAGCAACCATGTAATAGAGTTTAATGGAGCCTTAAATTCCTCCTGCCCTATATTAAACAGTGTCACTTTATAGCACCCAGCGCCAGTGTAAAAGTAGCGCGGCCACGCTGACGCCTCAGCTGAAGCCATAACATGTTGACAGACAGACAGGAGACCATCTTAATGTACACAGTTATTTCAGGCAGAGAAATTCACAGATGCACATGAGAATGCATTTATGCACAGGCACAAGTGTTCTTTTTTTTTCTTTAAACAAAGGACAGTCAAATTGAAACCATCCACACACACACACATACTGTGTTTATTATTATCTTGTCCCAGCCCCCTTTGCAGTACTCTTTTATACCCCTGCAAATAGCTTGGCAATGAGGGTGGTGGGGTTGTGCCCCTTCCTCTGTGCCCCTTGGCCCCCTCTCTGCCAGCTATGTATCCCTCCTCATGTGGCACTTGTTCCCACTCTCTCTTCCCCTGCTGTGGTCTGTTTTGACTGGGCTAAATCCTCCCTGCCTCCCTCCACCCCCTCTTACCACGGGCTATCCAGTCATTCAGAGACCTCGAAAAACCCTGCACACCATAAACACCATCCCTCCATAGGTAGATCACAACATCCTACCCATTTCACCTACACTCATGAAAAACTCATACACGTCCGAGTCCCTGCAGCGACTGACTCATCCTGGTAAGGCAACACTGCTCCTTGCCATCCCTCACACCAGCGGTGGCAACAGCAGCATTAAACCACATGAGAATGTAGCTGCGGCTGGATAGTGGCGCTAACAGCTTTAACGTGCGAGGCCTCCCTGCCAGGGCCAACAGGGGCCAGACTCTGCCCTGTGTTAAATCAACGAGCCACTTATGTGGTCGGGCAGGTACGACCCCTCTGACCAGCACTGTGGAAAGGTACAGGTGAGGGGTGGATGAGCAGGAGGAGGTGGGTTCCACTGAGCTGAGCCACCTGCGGCTTAGAGACTCACTCACCTCCTCTTAGTGGTCTTGGGTTATGCCTGAATTTTGCTTTACTGTTTCCTCTGACTAAAGGCCCATCGTAGTGCCCAGTGCCAATGCTGCACACACACACATACAAACCTACATGACTGTACTAATGAAGACAATGCATCTCTGCAGGTTTACCATAACCACAACGTGCCTAACCCCAGCCTTCACCTAGTCTTAATTCCAATCTTAACACCAAAACCAAGTCTTAACCTCAAAATGAATCTAGCACACACGCACGCACACACACACACACACACACAATCTCAGAGAAGACATTACGTAGACCTACATTGATTTCCTGAGACTTACTTTAACCAACCATAGTTACAACTTGCCTAACCCAGACCTTGACCTTAACTTTAACTTAACCTAAACTTTAAAACATGTCTTCACCTTAAAAAAATTATGATTTACTTTAAGGGGACTCCACCGACCAGTCTTCATCATGTGACTACAGATTTAATCCTCGCAATATAATATTACTTGGACCACGCACACACACACACACACACACACACTTTAATATATGACTATAATAAAGATCCTTTCTCTGCTCACTTCACAACATTGTACATTTTAGCAATAGCAAGTGTTTGTGTGTGTGTGTGTGTGTGTGTGTGTGTGTGTGTGTGTGTGTGCGCGTGTGTGTGTGTGCATTTATCTATTACTCACTGCGCGGTTCCCGGGGTCCATCCACGGTGACCTTGATGGCGCGGTGGTACGTGGCCACTTGCGGGGGCCCGGTGAACACGGTGATGGTCAGAGTGAAGCTCTTCCCTACGGCAGATTTATGAAATTAGTTTGACTCAGTGATGTGAAAAACTGTTCTCCCTCTTGTTCTATAACAATACTTCGCTTGTTCCGCCTCAGATCATCGCCGGCTATTTTATTTTGTTTCGTCCCGCTCCGGCCTTTAGAATTGAAGTCTTTTATTATTATTTTATTTTAAAGGGGGCCGGGGAGTGGACCACCTCGTTTGATGGCCTGACTGCGGTATATGATTTAGATTATTGAGGGAATGTGTTCCAGATTGTTCCAGAGGAGGTTTACAGCGATAGTTTATTGTTCAACAAGACAGGCTCTTGCTCCCATCTGCATCAAAGTCCGCGCACAGAGGAGAAGAGGAGGAGGAGGAGAGCTGCAGCATTGTGCAAAGGGTCCGATGCTCGTCCTCCTGAGAAAGGCACATCTCGTTAAAAAGAGACTGCGTGGGAAAAAGGGAAAATAAAAGAGGAGGAGAAGTAGATCCTCGGGTGGGATAATTGAAATGAAAGGTATTGCTCCGTTTTTAATTCGAAGAGAAGACACATTTTCCATTCATCAAGTCACAGCTATTTTTAACATTCAAGAGAAAAAAGATCAGAGCAGGACCTGAGGGGAATGAAATTCATCTAATAGATGAAGATGATTGTTGACAAAAAAAAAAGGATTTTATTTGAGGATATTTTCTTAGTTACTCTTAAAAATTGGGAGATCCTGAATTCCTAAACATAAAAAAGAATGCAGCACGTAGGCCCGTACGTTAAATACAACACCATGCAAACAGGCCTGTCAATGCGTAATTGTCCTATTATTAATTTTGCCAAAATCAATTGCACAATGTGTATGAAACATTTTGGACTATAAGCTTTTTTTGGCTGGAATTGTTTTTGACATTTTGTTCCATGGTGCATGGTTTCTCCTCCTTCCCTCAGATTTACACCATCATGCCGGTAATTATTTGTAATACCTTGGATTAGGGAATATTAAGTGCTATAGTCACATCGCCACTTGTAGCGCCCCGTGACGCACGCCAGATGTTTCGGATGACACCCGTAGACGTCAGTTGGCACAGTGAGGGCACTCGCCGTACCCGCATCTAAATGATCCCACATTTGCGGTTTTAACTTTGTAACAGAGAGCAGGCCAAAACCACTGACGAAAAATAATTTAGAAGTTTGGTTTTTAGAAGCGTAATGGATGACACTTTACTGAGGGTGCGTCTGTGCCATATAGAGGACTGTTCGGTGACCTATTTAACATTCGAACTTTCAGAAAATAATACAGAAATGTGACCTGTTTTTGTGCGTAAATGTTTCTGCAAATGGCACAAGCATAGACTTTGTCTTTTTCTTATATTGTGCATGTGTGTGCGTCTATGTGTGCGCGTCTGAGCTCACCTCGTCCGCTCCTACCCACGAAGCGCAGGTCGTTGAAGCGTGCCACCTGGTTCTTCATCACGGCCGAGGCGTTCCTCAACTCGGCCGAGTAGTTCTCATCGTTCCCGGCCATCACGGTGACCAGCGTCCCATCGGGCACATCGCCGAGTGCCACGACCTGCGCGCACACACACAGGAGGGGAGGAGAAGCGAACGGTCGCCTCAGGTCAATAAACCAAAATGTACACAACTGCGCGCGTAAAAACCGCATCCGGCTCCCATAATATTAAACACGAATATATCGTTACAGTTTCACCACACTGTCAACAATAAACATAATTGTGTAGATTTCACGTAAACTGACACCCCCCACGTCGCCTGTCAAGATTTAAATCTATATTGTATAAACATTGTGTGCGACATGGGTTTCACGACCTGCCCTGTTACTGCTGTTTATTTTCCTGTGATCCAAATACAAGATTTACGCAAAGCAAGACTTATTGTGACACAAGCCACATCTCTTATCAAAAAAATGTATAGTACGCTCCATGAAAAATATAGTAAAACTGTAATAAAAGTGTAGTTCATATCAAGCTTCCTCTCAGACCTTTTATAATATCAGGCCCCTTTGCTGCTTTGTAATTTCTGAGGTAATGTTGATATTTTGGATTGTGCTGTTTGAAGCTAATGAACGCAAATTCTAGATATAGTTTATGGTAATTTAACACGAAAGAAAACTGCAAGTTGCATCAACTAAAAAGCAAAACTTCCAGTCACCATAAAGAAAATTAAATGGCATCATTAAAATTTATTTTAATGCTTTAAAATCAGCCTCTATCTGTAGCCTTTTCTCCTGCACTCCCAATAGTAAAAAAACATTTTGTGCGTCATTAAAATGGAAATATAATGAATGATAATTAGAAGTCATGTATCTTGCCTTGAAAGCCACGGGCAGCGTCTTGTTGCACCTCCAATGAGACGGCAGCACGGAGCAGAGGAAGTTGGGGCTGTCGGTGCGCACCAGCTCGCCGGCGTGGTCCGCCAGGACGTCCACCACGTTCCTGGTGTCCGGTCGCGACCTGAGGGGCCCCGGGGTGGCCATGGCCCCGTTGCCGTCTACGATCTTACTGCAGGGGAAGGACGTGGAGGGCGGCGTGAACCGTCTGGTGGTGGGCGGCTCTACGGGAATATGCATCACAACAGCTTGGGTCAGTGCCACCTGACTGGGTTGTTTGAGAAGAGCAGGACACTTTGGGAGAATGAAAATATTTCTTTCCAAACGCCGCTGTTCTCAGGAGTCCACTGAGTGTGAGAGCGCAGAGGATGGAGGCGAGTGCGCACGAAGTGTCGGTGAAGACAGCCTCAGTGTGAGCAGTGCATAGGACGTGTCAGCCTGAGGAACATCAGGGTCGCTCTGTGTCTCACTGACTTCAGTCAAAATTACGCACAAAGAAGAACCTCTAAAAGTCTCAGTGCTGAGTCTGTCTTCTGTCTTATCTGACGCACACTTGATGGACAACACCAGCCGCGTGTGGACAATATATCAACACCACAAGCTACTCGAGTTTTTACTCTGAAAATCACAAATCAGTCAATCAATCCCCCCGAAAGAAAGTATTGGCGATCAATGATCTGTTGGCACAGGTCAGATAATCCAGACGTGATGCGAAAACTTTTGCCTTTCTCGTCTACAAAGTTTTTTTTCCTGTGAAAGATGATCGCGACTAAAATATTAGACGCTCTTCGAACCTCACTAGACTTCACTATGTAAAAAAAAATCCCCAAATATTTAAAAATATCTGACTGAAGCTGAAGCACATCTGGGTCCTTTTCGTGCGTTAAAGTTCTCGCAACTTTTATCCTCGTTGGATCTTCCCAGAAAAAAATAAAAAAAGTTACTGTGGGATAGAAGGAAGTGTCCCGTGGCTCCAGCTGGATTTCCTTTTTTAAAGTTTAAGTTATCCTTTTTTTTTAATCGCAGGGTTATGGGGCGCGAGAAGGAGCCGTGAGGCTGAACGGAGTGCAGAGTGCTGCGATATTATTTTACCCGAGTCATTTTAGTGTTTAGTGGTTGGGAGTGTGGAGATCATTTCCACCAATGACTGTGCAGGGCTGGGCTTTCATCGGACCAATCAGAGCCTCCCGCTGCTTCTTCTGCAACTGTTGTCACACACACACACACACACACACACACACACACACACACACACACACACACACACACACACAKACACACACACACACACGAGCGGAGCTATTGATACATATCTGTGCTTTTCTATCTGTTTGGATTTTATATGATTTATATATAAATATAGAGAAACATTACACGACTGGGTTTGGTTGGAGGGATGTTGGTTTTAATAGAACTGCAGAATAATTGAATGAAAATTATATAAATTGATTGGACTTTCTAGCCAATAATCATTACGCACTGGTGGGTAGATTAAAGGCAACTTATACATGTGTTATCCATTAAATACAATGGCTTTAACACGAAACAAAGAAATTATAATATTGCTTTTGTGCAGAACAACCTCATTGATGAGATTATGAATAGTTATTCTTATATGAAACTGTCAGCTGTCATGTGTAATAACAACATGAAATGTAAATGATCCAAAGCAGGATTTTGACTGTACAGACCTGTGGTTTCTCTCCCATTCATTCATTTTGAAAAGTTATTATACACCTGGCGGCTTCACACCTTACAGGTAAATACGTTATTTTCATAAAGGGGGGAGATTATGGGTTTATGAGACAGATTGGTATCGCTTTAATTGGCTGAAGTGGATAAAATAAGAAAATTAAAGCAAACAGGCAAATGTCTCTTTATTTTTTCCACATCAAACGACGCAGCTGATTAATAAACTGCGTGTGCCAGAGGCTGAATTCAACAGGAGCCATGAAATGCTGAGGGTTACGTCAAATGACGGCACACCCTGCACAGCTCCTCCGCCGTGCTGCTTTCTGACACTAGTTGGCGCATTTGCCTTTTCAATCGCTGTCAGCTCCGAGTGTGTGAGGCAGACATTTCACCTCTGCACCGAGAGAGGAGGAAACTTCCATCTGTGGCTCTCACACTCTGAATACATTTCTACTTAAAGTCAATTAAACGAACATTGCTTGTGATGCAGTTCTTGTTGCTGAGAGAACAGGAGACATATTCATTAATTTTTTTGGCCTGAATCATAATCAAGTCAATTATTGTTGGGAAATGAAATTATTTGAAAAACCAGAGACAGTTATTCGTTTATTGACAGCACACTGAAGCTGTGTGAAGGATGAGACTTAATATTTTCATCTTTAAATTCAACATTTAGAAATTATATTTCTTACTGTCTGTTACTATAAATGCATGAGTTATTTCATGAAACATTAAAAGTCCTGATAGTGTTCGATTATGACACTTGATATCATTTAGAAAAAAGAAATTAATTCTTAAAACAATGAATAAACAAATAAACAAAAATAAAATAACATGGCTCAGAATCAATAATGCAAACAAGAAATTGACAGTAAAGGAAATGTTGATCGGGATTTTCGTTCAGGCGCATTTTAAAACGCCTTTAATCAATCAATCAATCGACGGCTCATCCTAATAACAGGACAACGTGTTTTATTTTATTTCGTGCGGTGGTTTTTATGTTGTTTAATCGCACGAGCATAATTGAGGTGCTGTTAAGTGGCGTGAGGAGTCATCGCAGTGGCTTCAGATTATTTTCCACACAATTTCCATCTGAACTTAATGATCCCAGACAGAGAGAGATTCAGGGCAGAGATTCAGAAAGATGGAAAAAATAATTATGATATTAATTATAAAAACAGAGAATTCCTCTTTTGAGTAAATGTCAAAATAAGTTGTGGGTTCTAAATGTTTATTTCACTAAAGCTGTTAGTGTGTGATCAAATGTGGGCTTGGAAAATCACACTGTCTCTGGTGCTTTGTCAGCATGGACCGCAATCCTTAAAGAATCATTAACACAAGTAGGAAGAAAAATACAAAAAGTGCCAGTAAATATTAGTTTTACAAGTTTTAGTTTTGTTCTTTTCATCATAAAAAAAAAAAGTCTCTCCTGAGGTCACAGGAATATTAACCTTGTTTAACACTAACTTTCATTGCTTGTGTCTACTTCTGTTTTTGGTGGACATCAGAATATTTAAAAAAAAAAATAATTTCAGGCATTAACAAATTCTGATTAAATAAATAAAGATGTATATGAAATATTTAAATCATGGTAGTGTGGCCATCACTAACATCCATTCAATGATGACACAACCAGGCTGGTGGAATTATTTTTTGGCACAGCTTGGAAAAGCTCATTAAAAACATTAAAAACAACATATGGAGATAGACTGTGGTGACACTACACACAATGACCCAACAATATATGGCCAGGACAATATCACAAACAGTAACATCAGAGCGGACGACAAAAGAGATCTCTCTCCACTACAACCAGAGGAAAAAAAAAACCTCATGTGAGTCAGCTCTGGGGTTTTTGACTTGAAGCTGATGGAAACTCTTAAAAAATCACACAACGATGTTTCACAGTCAGATCAATGTGTTACCGCAGCAGTGAAATGTCTTCAATCCTAACTAGAAAAAATAAAAAAATCATGTCTGATCAGATCAGCTATCATGCAGCCTCTATTTTGAGTAAAGCTCAACTGGGACAATGACAATGCCCGTGATATTTCAGTCGTCCTCCTGCCCTAGTTCATTATTAATATGTGACCACATGCCCCGGCTAGATACCCTGCCCGGCTGTAATGTACGCTCCGGGCGCCTGTCACATTTAGACCTCTGCATTTCAACATGCAGTTTCTACAGTTTCAGCCACACAGCCATTGAGGACAGAGGCCGTTGTGGCCCTGAACGATTTTTAATGATCCGGGTGGGCTGAGTTTGAAATCAAGACAGAACTCCTGGAGGATATGTGAAACCCCGGACCCACCTCAAATAGGCCTCAGATGTACTCGATTCTTATACCGTTCAAGAGCAAAAAGAATACAGAGCCTTCTGATGTAAATCAAGAAGTCACATTGTTGTTCACTGATGGGTCACTATATGAAAAATAAGGACTGAGAGAAACCAGGAAGTCTTACAGCACCACGGTCAAGCACAGTGTCATTAAGGACTCTGGTGAGACCTGAATCGATTACAGAATGAGGTCTTAATATAAATCATAAGGTTTCTCAGAGTGCAAAGATCAATCATGTCTGTATAAAACCCAGTTACAGGTTTCATGTGTAAAGAGTTGTATTGTTAAGATTAAGAGGAATGAAGAGTATGATCCCAACGAGCGGAGGGACCAGTGGAAGCCTCTGGGCTCTGTAAACGAATACCTGCCCCTAAGTGCCACCCACACAGCTTTCAGTGCCACTTAAAAGTCACTTTGAAGATGGGCACAGTCTCAGATACGTGGAGACCCTTCTTTTTTTTTTTGCTGAATATGATCTATTAGCCTGTGTAAACTCCCAGGCTATTTTCAGCCGTGCACACATAAGCCCTCGGATGGGTAGCTATTCATTTGCAAAAGGGGGCTCTATGGGGGCAATTAGAAATAGTTTGAGGTTCGGCGATGACATAAGACAAAGATTTCTATCTTTAGAGGAGCTGTGGCGGTCACACATTTCTGTACATTCACAAATTACAGGGCGAGCGCTGGCCCTCAATCCGCCGAATGCATTCCTTCCGAAAAGTGTCTGCTCGGATTTCAGCCGGGGGTTTTCTGCTCAGTGGAAATATGAGTGTTCTGAATGGACGACTTCTATGAAATGGAGTTTTATTCCTCTTGGATTAAATTAGCTCTACTTTGGGGCTTGGGGTATTTTTTTGTATGAATGATGAATTCTGCGGTGGCTGTGGAACGCCAGGCTTGTTTACCGTTCCCTCCCTTTTTTTTCAACCATAGCTCCCTATGAAATGGACTTTTTCTGCTTGATATGACAAGAGTGTCTGTGATTAGACTTTCAAGCATGATGTAAGTCACCAAAGCCATTTGTGCCAGTCCCCTCAAAGCCAAATCATATTCTAGCGTCTAGTGAGTGTTTATATACACAAGTATATGGAGAAACTTTTAAACAACAGTGAGTGGGTACAGACTGTTTGGGTTTTGGGCTCTAGTTGCTCTGATGGCTGATTCCCTCTCAAATTTTGATTACATAATGTGTCA